GCTACGGCAAGCTCGAAAAAGAAGTAGAAAATCAAGTGAATAGAGCAAACAGAGACGCAAGTTGCCTGAATGAAACAATATGGAGAAATAAAATTGGGAAAGACTTTACAGGCAGAATTTACAAAACAGTCACCAGACCAATAATGACATATGCGGCAGAAACACAATCTAACACAGAAGACAAAAAGGATGTTAGAAGCAGCAGAGATGAAAATACTTAGAAAAATTGATAATAAAACACTAATGGGACAGAGCTAGAAGTACACATATACGACGTTGATGCAAGGTGGAGAACATCAAGAAATAGAAGAGTGGAACGGAATGATCATACAAGCCGGATGACAACAAATAGAATCTTAAAGATGACAAGAGACAGTTCCAAAATAGGAAGACGATCAATAAGGCCACGAAAACGATGGAACGACAACTTACTGGAGGTACATTAAAAAACAGACAGAGTTATATCTACATAAAAAGAAGACAAAAGACTAGAATTAAACAATTCAATGCAACTGCTATTAAGTACATGTAAATAGAAAATGTACATTTTTCTAGAATGTGGTAAAATAAAAATTTAAATAAGATATTGCATCTTTATATACGGGTTACGTGTTTTAGCATTAGTTTAGATAGTTTTTTGGTGCCTTTTATGTAATTTTCTTTAATATATTTAAGATAGTAAAAAACCCGATATAAAAAAACGTGTAACCACAACAACTACTGAAATAGTTGAAAGTTTTGATAAATTCAATAAACTGGCTGAACCAAAAACTGAATTATTAAAGTAATTCAGTTAAAGAATATAAATCAAAACAATGAAAAGAAACAGATAGAATAAGATAAAAAAAAACAAGAGTTACTAAAATACGATACCTAGGTACTAGGGTGGTCCGATAAGTACTTAGCCTACAAAATAAAAACGAAAATTGTGAAAAGTGGAATTTATTTCTCAACATGGTCTCTTTTTAGTTTGACACACTTGACCCAGTAATTTTCCAACTTCTTTAACTTGTCGGAAAAATACGTTTTCTCGAGGTCTACAAAGTAGGCTTCCGTTTGGAAGTTTGGATACAAAAAGTCGCACGGGATCGAATCTGGAGACTACAGTGGATACAGGTGCAATAATTCCTAGCCCAATTCGACCAGTTTTGTTATGGCGACGGCGGAAGTATGAGCCGGTACGTTGTCATTGTGGAAGAGCACTTTTTTCTTTGCAAATTGGGGTCGTTGTTTCTGCAATGTAGTGTAGAATCGGCCAATAAGATTGTTTTGACTGTTTGTGTGTACACATCGTTGGTGTGTAGCAGTAGATCCATATTTCGTCGACGGATAGGAAACTTTACCTTTAGTAAATATACCCTCTATACCGTCTAGGTAAAAACTCCTTTGATTACACTTAAATAGCGTCGTCAAACACTGCTCTGAAGTGGTCTCACGGTTGCACTTGTTATCCGCAGAAAGCAAACGTGACACCAATCGCGCCCGACAGCTTTCTCGTGCCCAAAATTTCAGACAAGATATGACATACTCGATCTTTTGAGATGCTTACTATCTCAGCAATCTCGCGCACCTTCATTCGGTGGTACCCAATACGAGATCGTAGATTTTGGTAACGTAATTCTCCGTAGTAGCCATTTTCGGGGCACCTTGGCCTGGCGTATCAAAATCCGACGTGCGACCACGTTGAAACTCGTTAAACCAATTTTTGACGATTGCCTTTGAAGGATTAGAGTCACCGTACACAACATCCAAGAACTCTTTGATTTCATTGTGCGATTTCCCTTCCAAAAACAAGAATCGAATCACCCACCGATATTGCTCTTTTTCATTTTTCCAAGCTCCGCGGACACGCCCGCTTTCACACGCGCTCAAAACAAATCTACGAGTACGATTAGGCTGAAATTTTGACATTACCTGTCTTTGAAAATGTATTACACGATATTAGATTTTTCTTGAGATAGTATCTACGTATATTAATAAAAAAACACTATGAGGCGAAAGAGGCAAAAATCGTTTGCCTCTTCTGTAATGGCTGTGGCGCTTAAAATAAGAACATTACTGTCATAGGACTGTTATTCAATTGGCTATTAAATTTGAGTCCGTCAGTCAAAGAAAAAGTTGAAGTAATTTTTCCAGTTGTAGGATATTCATCTTCTTCTTCTTGTGCCACTCCTATCGGAGATTGAAAATCATATCAAGCTTATCCTGACCTTGTTTACAGCTAACCTAAAGAGTTCATTAGTGGTACAGCCAAACCACTCTCTCAAATTACGCAACCATGACATTCTTCTACGGCCTGGATTCCATTTTCATTCTATTTTTTTTTACTTCAAAATATAATGCAAGGAAAACAGGATATTCATACGTTACACCAAACAGACTTTTTGGTCAAATTGATAAAATTATTTAAAAAACGCCTGGAGTTACGAGTCCTGAACATTACATTTAAATAATCGTAAATTCATTCATCATTCATCAGTTCTTGACTGACAAACTAATGTGTAGCTTGTTATAAAGCGACCAGCTGAATGTTATTATAAATTTAAAATGCCAATGCTTTTATAAACACAATTTCGGTAATACATAATAAATCTGTGCTATGAAAGGGAAAGAAACTGCGTATGTAACCTGCAGCTGTATGTAGGTTTATCATTAAAACCAGATAAAAAGAATAGTATAAGTTAAGTGATTAAAAAGCACTACGGAGACTCCTGGCAAACGATGAAACATTATCCTTTTTCAAGCGAAACTTATACAGCATCTACATACGTCAAAGGAAAATAGTTGCCAATAGAGCAAGATGTTTTGAGGAAGTAGACGACAACAAAACTGAAAAATTTTAATTACTATTTAACTGGGAATAAACTACAATTAAAGGTAAAAATACATGGACGTATAAACACAGATGGACTCAGTTATTTACATAAAATTGTGAAGTCAAAATTATTTGAATATGTCACATTCTCAGCACCTCCAACTGTTGTCACGTTTTTTTATTAAAAATTCTTATTCGCGAGTCGCTGAAAATATTACTCCGTATTTTATACTCTACAGGTGCTATCAAACCAAAATAATAATTTATTGGTTATATTAATATATCTAATTGTAATCAAAATATCAAGTGTGCACATAGTGTGCATTATCATTTAATAATAGCGTATAATAGATATCAATAAATTATTTTATATTTAGAAGCACTGAAAACTATTTATAAATGGCAACGGTTGTTTACATTTCTCTGTTTTACGGTTCTACGTCAAACTTCAAATGCTATTCCATGTTTGTTTACAACGATTGAGGAAATAAGGAAAAATTGTTTTTAGATAATTTTGGCTGTATTTTGAGTGATATTTGTGAAAAGTGAAATAAAATAAACGAAATATTTACATCCCGGTCTTTCATTTCATTTGTAAGTACATAAAATTTACATTATTTAGGATGAGGAAATGAAAAAGCGTGTTTGTTTACATTTTAATAGGCGTACCATTGGGTTTATTCATGTTCATTAATGTATTCAATAAGATATAATAAAATTGTATTTTAATTTTTCTATAAAGACGTGATTTGTTAATAGTTAAATTCTCGTTTTTTTTTTAATTCTTTGAACGTGTTTTTATACATTATTACTAGGTATTTCCAATTTTTAAAATCTGAATAATTACCCGCGAGTAAAAATTCAAGCACGCTTATACTCATTGCGGAAGCATCACATTCTATCGAAGCTTCAAAACATTGTGTGTTAAAGGTATCTTATTGCTGTGTCCATCTATGTTTATACGTCCATGTAAAAATACGTTTATTGACGTTTCAATTTCCACTTCGGAAATCGTTCTCAAAATCGTATTTTGAGAACGATTTCCGAAGTGGAAATTGAAACGTCAGTAAACGTATTTTTACCTTTAATTGTAGTTTATTCCCAGTTAAATAGTAATTAATTTAAAATGCCACAAGAAAATAGTTTCAGAACAATATGAAAAATTTTGTTTAGAAGAACACTTAGATTTCGATATTTAAATATATTGTACTTTTTCACATTTTGATGCCCATGGTCACCTGTATTTCTGTTTACTAAAAAATATTAAAAATTTGGTTTATCAAAAATTTTTTCACCATTTTCAGCAACGGTTTACGGTCAAAACACGACGTGTCCAAGTCAATAACATGCAAAACCAGACATGTCCAAATTAAAATTTCATTGTATACTTAGTAATTTCCAGCCACTGTTAATCGGTCAAAATGTAACAAACGTAGCAACAAATAATTATTACTAAATTTATGAGACAGTTGCCACAGTTGGGAATGTAGATATAATTATAATAACATCGATATAATAAATATACCATATATTTAACACACTGATGTTTGTATTTTGAGAACGATTCCGAAGTGGAAATTGAAACGTCAATAAACTTACTTTAACCTTTAACTATGGCTTATTCCCATTTAAATAGTAATTATACCATATATTATATCGATGCCATAAACATTCACACAAAATATAAAAATATACATTAATAAGTAAGATAGTGTAATCACAGAATAAAATAACATTTGTTTATTATTCTGTGGTATAATAAGCACAGAATAGATAACAATCAGAATGCCCACTCTTACATGCCGCCTTTAAAGTTTGTTAGTACGCGAACGCCATGTTTTAGACGGAAACAGACGGAATTGAGAAATTTGTAACAAGCTATGACAGAACTGTAATTTAAATTTTTAGAGATTAATAATTCAGTACATTTGAAATAATTTAATCTATTCATCAATTCAAAGTACGAACAAAATAGTGCATAATATGTTTATAGTTGCCGTAAATAAATTAAACTGGATTAATTTTTCTATGCACACCAGATAAAATATCACTGAACAGCACTGATTTCCTTTAAAACATGGCTGATTCGCTGCGCGAATGGGATGTGTGTTAATTGAAATACCAGAAGAAGACGTTTGACTGTTTGACCAGGTTTGACAGTTGACGGTTAGCGTTTTGTGGGTAAGTTCAAGTTGTTTTTTGTTTATAAAAATATAATTAATACACCCGCTTTAGAAAAGTAAACAAAGAGATTTCTGTATTAATTTGTATTCTAAAGGTATTTATATTTATGTAACTTTAGTTCAATGGCATAAAACAATTATCGTTAGGTGCCTTAACCTCAAAGACAATTTTCATACAGTTATTTATGCTGAGACTTAAAAATAAAAAACAACCAGCAAAAAAATACAACTTTTAGATGGAGAATAGGTAACAAACTATCTAGATATCTATTGCCTATATTACGATCACAACATGAATCAAAATACTGATATTTGTAAAGAAACCAGAATATTGAAGTAATGATATACTGAAAACTTCCTTTTATACTGATCTAACTGCTCTCTCCTAAGAATCAGTAATCCTTGTTAATTTCTCACACACAAACAAATTACAGCTATTGAAAATGCTGACAAAGTCAGTTTATTCAATAAGATGGAATACTCCCAATGAAAGAGAAGTGAATAGTAAAATTCCAGTGGGAAAGATAGTGTAGTGATCCTTGTAAGAGCTTTTTCAGATAGAGCTAAATAGTTAAATAATGTTTTTTATTAACCGATCATTCAAAAGGGAAGTCCTTAAACACATTACAATAAATCTTTTGTATGCCAGTTGTATATAAATATGTTCTTATTATGAAAAATAAAATCAATAATTTGATATGTAAAAAATGAATATACCTGCTATAATTTAACTGGATACCTAAGTAAAGTGAAGAAAAAGTTAAAATTTTAGTATATAATACTTTGCTCTTCTGAATCCAGTACTTGATATTCCTATGTAGTGTTCTTTCATGATTATTATCTGTGACCACTGACAGCTAATGGTGGGCCATGGTCACCCGTTGGAGTTTCTATGCTCTAAAGTTATACATAGTGTGGAGGCCAGCTACCACACAACTCCTCAAAAAGTCCAGCACTTGATATCTAAAATTGTTACTTCCTAGTTTGTCTTTTTTGGGGAGATCATTTCATTGTCATGTATATTTTGCTTCCTTGACCATATTTGACCATGATTTTCTTTCTTTTGCTTGTTTTTCTCATTCTTGTATTCCTAGTTCTCTTAATTCCTGGTTAATATCATCAATATATCTCTTTCTGAGCCTACCTCTTGATCTCTTTCCTTTTAATTATTTTCCAAGTGCTGTTTTTGTATTTCACTTAGCATCCATCCTTTTATGTGCCCCAACCAACTCAGTCGTTTACTTCATTTTTCTTCTGTGATAGTCAGTGTATTAAATATTCTATTTATTTTGTGGTTCATTCTTATATGCCACTTCCCATTTTCCTGTATAGGTCCATATAATGTTCCTTAAAATTTTTCTTTCTTATCTTAGAAGTGGTTCCTCTTGTTCACTAGTCAAAGTCTATGTTTCTGATGCATATGCTACTACAGGTCTCACAACTGTTGTGTATATTTTTATTTTTGATTTAATAAATACTAATTTTGATTTTATAATATTCTGTAGGCTGTCGAAACATTTGTTTCCAACTTAAATTCTCGCTGTTATCTCATCACTATTTTTATTGCCTTCTGTAACTATTGATACTAAATATTTGAAATGGTCTACTCCTTGAAATTTTTTCCCGCTCAAACATATATTATGAGTCCCTTTCATTTGTACTTTCCCTGAGTTGTTTTCATGTACTTTATCTTTGAGACATTAACTTCTAGACCCATAATATGTGCCGCTTCTTTAAAATATGGATAAATTTTTCCTAAGCCGTTTAATATTCAGCTAATTATGTCTATATCATCTGCGTAAGCTATGACTTGGTTTATCTTTATATATAGTGTACCTTTTCCATCAGTCTATAGGAGTTTCGCTGATAACTTGTTCCAATGCAAGGTTAAAAGTGTTGTGGATAGCATATCTCCTTGTGTTGGACCTTCTTTGATATTAAACTCATCAGAAAGTTGATTTTGGGTTCTTACTTTTGCTTTGATGTTGGTTAGGCAGAGTTTTACTCTGCCTAACTCTGTAATTTTTTTTTGGCACATTTAACTCCTGCATTGCGCTATATAATTCCTTTCTAATTATTCATTCAGTCATATGCTTGTTTGAATTCTACAAAAGGATGATGTAGTTCAGTATTTCATTCATAAAATTTTCCCCTCATTTGCAAATATTTGGTCTATAATTGACCTACCTTTTCTGAATCCTCCTTAATAATCCCGTTGATTGTTTCATTATATTGTTTAGCATCCCTTCTAATAGTTTGCTGAATATTTTGTATCCAACATTAACCACTAATATTCCCCAGTGATTATTGCTGTCTTAACTTATTCCCCTTCTTATGTTTGGAGCAATTTTCCATTATTCCGGCATTATTTCTGTATTCCATATATCTAGTATTAACATTGATATTTCATTCTGTAATCTATGTCGTCCATATTTTAACATTTCTACAGTTATGTATCACATCCTGGGGCCTTATCATTTTTCATTTTTTTATTAAATGTTTTATTTTTTCTTCTGTTGGTGGATATGTCTGCATTAGCCTCTCTGACTAATATTAGCACTTATATTATGTAACATTGATTTTCTTTATTCAACAGTTTACATCTTTCCACTGTTTTAGCACTTCTTTTTCGTCTGCTATTAGCTCACCATTTTGGTCTTTGCATAATTTTGTTCTTGGTTGGAAACCCTTTTTCTCAAAATTATCGTCTACTTGCAATATATTTCTTCCGTACTGTTAATCAGCATTTTAAGCCTAGCTTGATTTTTTTGTTCCTTTAGTCCCTGTCATACCAAATTTTTTTGCTAGGTTCTTTGCTTTCCTCACTACTTCTTTTGCAGCTGTTATAACTGTTTCTTTTAGAACCACCACTTAACTTCGATATTTGTGACCTGATTTTTATTTACTATATTAAGTACATTGTTTTTTTTTTTTTGTAATTATGTTTTCTATTTTCTTTTCATGTCTTGCTCTTTTTTCTTCATCAGAGGCCAATATATCTGAAGCATATATGTATGATCTTTTTTCACCATTTTCTTTCCTTGGCGTTAATTGTTTGTTGTAGATCAAATTTCTCGTTTTCATATCTGGAGAAACCCATAGGTCTTTTTGGATATTTTTGTGTGTAAATTTTTTACTGCTCATCACCATTTTTTTCGGCTGCGAAATCTATAGTTCCTTCCTTAATGTTGTTATTTATTTGATGCAGACTATGTATATCTATTGTTCCCTGATATAATACCTATCTTCATAATTTTGCGTTTAAATCTCCTAACATTATTTTAACGCTGTAATTGTTTATTTTTGACACCTCTTTGGCAACTTTATTTTTGACACCTCTGTAGGTGCGTGCACGTTAATGAGACTTGTATCAAAGAATGTTTCTTTCATTTTCAGGATAGCTATCCTTTCGTTAATGTTTATTACTTTTTACCGCGTGCTTGTATCATTCACTTATTATGAAACCCAGATTTTCCTCTTTCTGTTTTAGCGTTATTTCTTGTACTTTGCTTTCTAGCGGTTTTTTACGAAAGCTTGGAAAATTGTCAATATTCGATAGTTGAATTGGAATAGGAAAATTGTCAATTGTTCAATACTCTTAGACCTGTCATTGGTCTGTTTTTTCCTGACCTTACAATTATGAGGAATTAAACATTGATTTATTATTGCAGTTTTATCGTTTTTCTGACCTACTTTTATAACTCTATTATCTTTACCCTTATCCTTAAGATTAAAGTGAACATTAATATTAAAATCAAAATTATCAAAAGTTAAAAGAAATACCATTATTTCTCTTAACATAATTCTCTCAATTATTTTCAACCTCAAGACGGACGCCGTTGCCCTAATTCTTATCCACCTTAACATTATTTTTATATTCCTTATTGTTACTATTGAGTATGCTACCGGCGTCCGCACCGACAATAAATATTTCTTTTTGTCTTCGGTTTTCGGTAATGTCTTCTTCAATTGCTGTTTTCATTTTATTTTCTTTTTTCTGTTTCTCTGACCAAATTGCTTTCGTTACTTTTTTTAAGTGCGCTGTTCTCGTTATTTTCGTTGTTCTTTTTGTAGTATTGTCCATTGATAGCTCTTCCTCCGGGAGGAATCTATCACCATATTCCCTAGCTTTATTATTTTTCAAATATTCTCTTACTATAACTTCATTTTCTTATGATAAAGTAAAGAATACCTGCATTTTGACCTTTCTCTCTTGCTTCTTTTTAATATTTGCGATAGAAGTGCCTTTCTTTGAATTTGTATGTCTTTTGGATACTTAGTCTTCATTTATAAATATGTCTGTACCTCTTAATTTCTTTGTTTCTTTGAGGACCTCGTTCTTTTTACTCAAATTTTTTAATTCGATGAGGATTGCTCTTTTTTTATTAATATACCGAGTCTTCACATTTTTATAATATCTTAATCTGCATTTAGTTCTATAGTCGCACAATTTTCAATTAAAGGTGACTAATCGACAAATTTAACTAAGAGCTGGCAATCATGTTAAATGTCAGAAGTAAATTCCTACCGGGGTCATTTTTATTGTGTATGTTTCGCCCATGTAAATAAGTGAAAACGCGTAAGATAGTCCCATAAAATTTGCCTCCGTAACAATATAAATTTGTGCGATTCACGAGTGTATAGTTAGAAGTTGATTAAATAGTTTGAAACATAGGTAAACTTCTCAACATTTCGCTGGTCTATATATTTACGTTCTTAGAAAGAATGGGAATGTGAGAAATATATTTTAGTTTATTTGTTTCACATTATATATGTGCATAGGCGTAGTATGTTCTATTTCTTCGGAATATATTTATTAAATAGACTTTATTAAATTTACTTTATTTAACTTTAAAATAGTTTTGAGTTAAAGTAAATTTGAGGTAAGTTTATTCTTTTTATAGTATTAACCCATTAACGGCCGATACAATAAACAAGAGAAATTTGACAATTAATTAATTAGATTGGATTAAAAACACATAAATTAATACTAATTTGCAACCAAAAAAACTTTTTTTTTTCATTTTTAAGAAAAAACAGTACAATTTTTAATAAAGGAACATATTGTATCTTAAATGTAAATTACATTTTAAGGTGAATATTTTCGAAACATTGGGGGTGTAGATGCACTGTACACCCTTTACATAAATACTAGTATTACTTTTGCACATCTGACATTCTTACACTATCGTCTCTTTTTGTAATGTAGAGAATATTGTCGAATAAGTTAGGTATGCAGTGGTTGGTTGTATAATTTTATTTAGTAAAAATTTTATCGGTAACCGCCATATTAACTATAAATTTCTCACTTAAAAATTCTCTGCGCAATGAAAGTGGAGGTTCATTAAGCTCACATTCCATGACCAATATAGATGTACTACTAAGATTTGATAAATAAAATAAATCTCTATTAATGGATTGATCATAAAACATGAGAATTTTACGGTATACCTTGAAAACTACAATCTAAAAGAGGTGTCGACTCAGACTTCAGTTAGGAAAAAATTTAGAGGTATTACATAAAAATATTAAGGTAACAATATTTTAGAGGTCAGGGCTAGATGTAAGAAATTAGAGGTGGACCTAATACCAACTCTACATGGAGCCTAGATCCTGTGTATCATGTGCTTATAGAAAACTTGAGAAAACAAATTTAATACTAACAAAATAAATTGTTGCCTACATAAAACTGTGTAATAAATTTATCTTGGACAAAATAAATTTAACAATGTTTTAGAATCAGGTGTCTACATGTGTTTGATTATTTTTAGGTCTTCAAAAATGGATAGTGAAATCCTAGAAGGAATTGAATGCAGTTCAAAATTAGAATTAGTACCCGATCCTAGTAACCAAGATATGTGGGATACTGAGGACAATACACAACTGTCTGAATTAAATTATGATGGTGAAAATTCAGATATCGAATTTGAAGATGAGTGTGAATTGATTACAATTGACCAGTTGAGTGCTGAAACTGGGGATGTTGAACACAGGTATTTCTATTATTTACTATATTTTATTTTACTATTATTTATTATTATCTTCATTTATTATACTTGGTATTAGAAATTATTTTTAATTTGTATGTTAGATTATTAGTGTATCTGTCAAATTAAAGAATACTAAAGTCCAAAGGGGTGAGGTAGTACTTATTGCATTTATTATATTTGGTTTGTAATGTCGAATAATATCGAATACATCAACGATAGATTATTAAAAATCTCTATAAAAATGCGTAACATCACAACACACCTGATAAGCACGTATGCCCCAGACATATCTAAGCCCACAGCAGAAACTGAAAATTTCTATCAGCAACTACAAAACGTCGTAGATAACATAAATACGAAAGACAAAATTATCGTACTCGGGGATCTTAATGCACGGATCGGAAACGTTGTCATACCAGGTATAAAACAAAAGTACAACGAAGAAATAATTAATGAAAACGGCGAAGCACTAATAGACTTTTGCGCTAGAAATGAAATGAGAATCAACAATACATACTTTCCTCATAAAGACCAACATAAATACACTTTTAGCAATAATCGAGGCCAGCGATCAATGATAGATTTTATAATCACAAATCGAGCGATAACTCCGTCACAAGTACTTGATGTCAGAGCACTAACATCTGCTAACCTGGGGACTGATCATAACCTTGTTTTATGCAAGATGCTACTAGAACGTCCTCAACGAAACAGAAAACCCCCAATGTTCATCGAAAAACATAATATAGAGTCGCTAGCAACAGAGAGACTGCTCTATGAGAACAGGATTACCAACAAACTAAAAGAGATCGACTTAAAACCCGAATGGGGAGTAGAAGATACTTGGCAAAAAAATAAGAAATGCATCAACGAAGCAGCAGAAGAAGCGATTGGTAAGCGCAAAATTAACACGAGAGCGACAAACCACACCAAACCGTGGTTTTGCCAAGAGGTAAAAGAACTCTCTGAATTAAAACGCAAATGCTACTTGAGATATAAAAGCACGCAATCGGAAGAAGCTCATGCAGAATATGTCCAAATAAGAAACGAAGTAAACGCCAGAATAAAATCAATCAAAAGAGAACATTGGGCCAAATTCACTTGCGACATGGACTACGACCTATATGGTGCCCAAAAGAAAGTATGGAAAATGCTCCGCAACAGGAAAAAATCAGTTAACGAGTTCGTGCAGACCAAAGGAGTACCTATAGAAACATGGCAACAACATTTTAAAGAGCTATATGATGCTGAAGAAACGCTGAATATAAACGAAGGCGAAACAGATGTGAGTGCTACAATCAATGACGAAGAAGTAGAAGCAAAGATCAAAAAGCTAAAAAAACAGAAAATCACCGGGAACGGATGGTATACCCAATGAACTTTTAAAATATGGAGGCCCGGAACTTGCAAGTTAACTGGCACAACTATTTAACAAAATATTAAACAAAACAGAAACACCAGAGGAATGGCATAATAGTATCACAATCCCCATATTTAAAAAAGGACAAAAAACCTGCCCACAAAACTATAGAGGAATAACCCTCTTAAATACAACAATGAAACTTTTCACGGGTATTCTCAAGGACAAATTGGAAAAGCAAATCACTAATGCTGAAGAACAACAAGGTTTTACAAAAGGGCGGTCTATAACAGACGCAGTATTTGTAATAAAACAAATAAAAGAAAAAGCTATAGAGTTCGGCATGCCAGCGTATATTTGCTTCATTGATTTGACGAAGGCATTTGACAGAGTTCGCCTGGGAGACATTCTAAATATATTAATAGAAAATGAAACACCGACCAGTATAACAAAGATACTCCATAACCTAAATAACAACAACGTAACCAAAGTTAGAGCAGGAGACGAATTCACTGAAAATATTCCAACACCGGGAGGAATTAGACAAGGCGACAGTTTAAGCCCCTTCTTGTTTAATCTTCTCATGGGCAAAATTATCAACAAAGTAACATCTCTTAATCTCGGATATAGAATGGGCAACAAAAGAATTGGTATGGTGTGCTACGCAGACGATGCAGCAATTATTGCCGAATCAGAAGATGATCTCCAAAGGCAGCTCTTTCAGTTCTTTCAAACAAGCCGACTATTAAATATAAACATCTCTACCAACAAAACTAAATGTATGACAATAGCAAAAGATCCGCTCAGATGTAAGTTAGTGGTTGAGGACAACCCCATAGAACAGGTGATGCAATTCAGATATCTGGGCATAGATATATCAAGCACCCATGACCCAGTAAAGGACCTGAGGAGTCAGATCAACAAAGCATCTGCACTGTCAGGATGTCTGCGGGAGATAGTCTGGTCTAATCCGTATATGCGCACAGATAGTAAAATTAGAATCTATAAGACTTGCATACGACCGATCATGACATATGGCATAGAAGTGCGCGAAGATACCAACAAAACGAAACAGATGCTAAGGGTTGCCGAAATGAAAACCTTAAGAACAATAATGGGGAAAACAAACAGGGACAGAGTGAGAAATACAAACATTAGAGAGCAGTGCAAAATTCAAGATATTGTAAGACGGGGAAGACAGCGCAAGAGGATGTGGTACAACCATGTAAGACGAATGGATGAGAATAGACTCCCAAAAATTGCCCTAGAAAACAATCCGCCTGGTTCAAGACCCCCCGGAAGACCACCTAAAAGATGGAGGGATAGTTGGCAATCTACCTCCCAAGAAATTAACCAGAGGCAGCTTCAGAATTAAACAGATCGAAAGATCTACAAAAATTAGAAGAAGAAGAAGAAGAGGTTTGTAATGCCATCAAATGTAACCCCGATATTATGTTAAGCTTAAACTCTTACATTTTCAGTTAATTTAAAAGTTTTTAGTAGATTAGAATGTCAGATATTTAAATAAGTTTGCTGCTTGTAAAATTATATTGCCTTGGGTATGTAATCATTTCCGATTATGAAAGGATGATACAATGAACCATAATAGAATAATTTCTTTTTGGATATCATCTAATATCTAGATTTCGAGTATGATGAAGGAAATAGTTGGTTAGAAACTTTCCTTGAGTTATTAGTAAACGAAGATCATTAATAATAGTTTATTTTTACTGAACTAAACTCAGATAACAGTTTGGATATTAATTTATAATGTTCACAATTTTAAATTTTTCAAGTTATCCTATCTGTACAAATAACATTATCAAAGTTCCTTCTATTTTGTTGGACCTTCAATTCATATGATTTTCGAATATTTGTGACAATATTTGAAATTAGAGGCTATTGCATAAATATGTTATACCATATCTGGAATTTCCTCCTTTAACTATTGTATTGTCTAACAGAGGGTTGTCTCAAAAACTCCATAGTTTCAGCATACTCCAAACAAATTTATCCAAAGTGGCTATTAAAGAGTAAGTTTCTTATTCTGCAATAACTTCTGAAGGTCATCTTACTTACATCATCTATAAAGGGCATCATGCATACTCTGCCTCTTTAAGCTATTTTTTGTGAGTTGGTTAGTTGTGGGTTGGTTGGCACCTGTATGTTGGTTGATGATCTTCTTCTTCTTCAGATGCAAATCCACTAATGGATGTTAGCGATCACATTTTCCATTAACTCTCTATTTCTTGCAATATGTATCAGAGATTGTATGTCGTTAATCCCTGTCCATTGCCTTATGTTTCGGAGCCAGGACATTTTCTTGCGTCCCATTCCTCTCTTGCCTTCAATTTTACCCTCGATTATAAGTTGGAGGAACTGGTATTTTTCATTTCGCATGATGTGACCTAGATATGCCGTTTTCCTTTTCTTGATGATTTCGAAAAGTTGGCGTTCTTGGTTTATTCTTTTAAGGACATCTATATTTGTGATTTTCGCTGTCCATGGTATTTTTAGGATACGGCGATAAAGCCACATTTCGAAAGCTTCCAATCTGCGTATATCCCTCGTTTTGAGTGTCCAGCCCTCTACGCCATATAGCAGCACTGACCATACGTAGCACTTAGTAAACCTTAGTCTCAGTTGAAGATCGAACTCAGAACAAGTCAGTACCTTCTTGAATTTTACGAAAGCTTGTCGAGCTTGCTCAATGCGACATTTTACTTCCCTGTCCGATGCCCAGTCTTCAAAAAGCCACGATCCCAGGTATTTAAATTTACTCACTCTTTCTATGGATTTACTATTCAGTGTTATGGTGGAGTTTTCAAATGCATCCAAGTTTCTGGAGATGATCATGAATTTGGTCTTTTTGGTATTAATCTCTAGTCCCATTCGCTCACTGTATTCTCCGATTATAGTGACAAGTTGTTGAAGATCGACTATGTTGTCACAAATTAAGACACCATCATCAGCATATCGTATGTTGTTGATCAATACTCCATTCACCTTGATTCCCATCTCTGCATCCTCCAAAGACTCTTGAAATATGGCTTCTGAATAAATGTTAAATAAAAGAGGGGAAAGCACACATCCCTGTCGAACGCCTCTTCTTATATGTATGGGCTTAGATATAGAATTGTCTATTTTTAGCTGTGCCGTTTGATGCCAGTACAAGTTTTCAATGCATCTTATGTCTTTTTGGTCTATATCAACTTTCTTGAGAATCTGCATTAACTTGTGGTGTTGGACACGATCAAACGCTTTTTGGTAATCTAAAAAGCATAGGAACACATCCTTCCTCTGATCGTAACAATTTTGGACCAGTACCTGTGTTGCTACTATTGCTTCTCGTGTTCCTAAACCTTGCCTAAACCCGAACTGGGAATCACTGATGTCCCATTCACATTTTTTGTATAATCTTTGATGTAGTATTTTTAAGAATATCTTTAAAGTGTGACTCATCGGGCTAATAAGTCTGTGATCCTCACATCTTTTTGCATTGACTTTCTTGGGCAGGGGAATAAAGGTAGAGCGTAACCACTGTTGAGGATAGCAGCCAGTTTCATAAATTAAATTAAATATTTTGTGTAGTGCTGAAATTCCCCTTTCATCTAGTAATTTGAGTATTTCTGACGGGATCTCA